AAAAAAAAAAAACAAAATCAAGAAGCTGTTGTTTAGGGCATAAATGAACCGTTACCAGTATGTATATACTTATACCGACCGATTACGGTCCGTATAAGTATATACGGACCGGTATTGGTCCGAAAATATATTTGAAAAAAATATAAAAGCTATAAAAAATAATTTAATTAGATATTCCTTGCATAATTTTATGATATTGAATTATTTTCATATAATTTATGATGTTTATCATATAACATGCTAGAAATTTTTTTAAATTTAGTATAAATATATAGGTCTCCAATATCTATTACAAATATAAAGTCAATACAAATATTTAATTAAAATATGAAAAACCTAAATATCTCGAGGTGTCATAGGGGTGACTGTCCCACTGGTATCCGCTAGGGTCATCCCTAAATGCTGGTAGAGTTGCTGCATCTGTGTCGCAAGGGTGGATTGTTGCTGCCGTAGGTTATCATTAGCCGCTCAAAGGGCCATTTGTGTTTGTCGAAGGCTATGATTATCTGCCTTCAATGATTCAATAGTCTGCTCTAATTCGGTAGTCCTATTAGATTGTCCTATAATAGGTGGCCCAAATGGTTCTTGTCTAGATGTACTCACACTTATATCTTGTGGATATGTGTGAATATCCAAACCTTTCAGCCATCCTTTCTTGACCTCACCAGTTGCCCTAAGTAATATCTCACCATGAAGTATTGTAGGGTCAAATCCTTCTTCTTCTTGTCTAGTAGCACATTCAGCTGTCAATTTTTCCTGAAATAATATAAGACAAAATAAATAATTAATTGTATTGAAAATTAAAGTGAAATTAAAAATATCACTTTAGGCACCTAAATTCAATTTACTCTCTCCTAAAAGGATGGAGTTCTAACTTTTTACCATTATCTATATTGTACAATAGTTTAAATATTATAACTAAAATAATTTCAATTAATTCATGACACAATTTAAAATAAAATTGTTAAGTTAAATACTTCGATTTCTTGAGCCTCATCATTACAATATACAAACAGTTGGTCTTTTCCTTTTCCTTTGTGCTGCCTTCTACTAGTGTAGACCTTAAGATATGTTGGTAGACGACCCTCGGGGTTTGCTTGTTGCTGTAAAGAAAAAAAAAAAAAAGAAGAGAAAATATTAAAATCAATATAAAATAAATTATAAGTCATAAATCATTATTATTCATTAAAAATATGTTAACTTTTATACCATTTTCTTTCTATAAACATTAACGTTCATTGTATCGTTGGTATGCGTCACCCTCGGTCCTTTTGCTCGATTAGCCTTTGCAGAACTTGACCTTCTCAAATGACCCTCGTCCTGTAAAAGTGGTGGACACATATATTTTCTTAATTAATAATATGATAAAAACATTAAACATTACAATTGAAAATTAAAAAATAAATAATAATAAACACATGAATTTACTCCATTACCTCAGTCCATAAATGAACAAGCTTCGCCCATAACTCTGGATTCATATCTGGAGGCTTAGCTTGAAAGTTTCTCTTTGCACACTTAGCTTTCAACTCACTAAGTGCATGCTTGAACTTGATCCTTGCTGTCATGTTCCATAAATCTTTTACAGGCTTTTCAATCGCAGGATCCCATTCATATGTTTGCTGAAAATAATAGAAATATAAATAAATACATAATTTAATAAAAAATATTAATGATAATAACAAAAAAATTTCAAATTACTTAAAATTTGAAGATAGAAATTGAAAATATCTAATTTGTAGATAGAAATTAAGTGTTTAGGGCGTACACTGAATATATTCCAATACATGTCCCGATGCTCACGAAGGACTTGTCCCCACGCTGTGTAAGCATCTGGGAGATTCTCCCGCAACTGGACCACAATCTGTCGTCTGACCTTTTGTGGCAAACCACCATAGTCATCTAGCTCTAATGGGATCTTCATCCCATCTGTAGGCATCTGCACGGGCTTAGTTTGCCCCCGTCATTGTCTCTGCTGGGGAGTATCCACAGGTGTATCCTCATCACTGGGAGACTCGGACTGTATATCAGCATCTGAAGCTGGAGTCTCTAGAACCACATCAGTTGGAACCTCCTCCTGAACTCGTCTTTTGGGGTCAAATGGGTTTCGTTGTTGCAGTTGGATGGAATCAACAACGTCTGTGCAACGAGAACTACAGCAATCCACTGTAAAAAAAAATATAACAAATGCAAAATAAATCATTAATACAACGTAATTTAAATGCAATAAATAAATTATTATTAATATCATAATTGTAATACCCCAAAATTTTCTAGAATAAATAAGTGAGTTAGGGACTTGTTTGAGAAAGAAATATTGTTTTGGGCTTAATAGCCAAGATTTGCTAAGTTGAGGGACTTAAAGAGGGAAAATAATTGGATAAGTATCAGCTTCTTTCTTTTTCTATTTCTCTTCTTTCTTTTCTTCCTCACCCGCGCGTCTGCTCTTCTTTTCTTCTTCCCTGCAGCTGGCAAAGCCCCCAAGCCCAACAGCCCTCCCATGAAGAAAAAAAAACCGGGAAGAGGCTTGGGTTTTGCCTTTCTTTTCTTGTCCAAAAACCAGATTTGAGCCTTGAAATCTTCCCTTCTGCTGCAGAAACCAGGATCTGCTCTGCTTGTCCATCCGTTGCTGCTGCTAAGCCCGAAATTCTGGGCATTTTTCTGGTAAGAAACAGCCATTAAATCATCTCTTTAGCTTTGATTTGGGCTTGGGTTTGCTTTAATTCCTCTTGGTTCTTGAATTTCGGTAGTTCCCCTGAATTTTCTGCAGATTCCCGCCGGCCTCCTTCCCCATTGCCATGTTCGGTTTGCTTGCTGGAATTCTGGTAAGTGGCAGCCCCATCTAAGTCCTAATTTACCCCTTTAATTGTTGAATTTTGTCCATGGATTGGCTGCCCCTGTGACGTCCGAATTTTACAGAAAAATGGGGAGGAATTTCGGTAGCTTTAGGATAAAAATTAAGCATTGATTCAAGTGAATTTATGTGATTGAGTGTTAATTGACTGCTGTGATTTTTGGAGAGAAAATCCTGTGAAATTAGCTAGTGGTTTGGGTAATTTTTGGAAGTTGGAGTACTGTTCACGGTACTGTTCACGGGTTACTGTTCACACCCAGAGGGCCAACAATTAATGGGGATTTAAATGATTAGTTTATGATATAATAACGAATTTGGAGATATCTGATAATGTGGAGATTGATAGGAATAGCATCGTGATTAGGAGTGATCTTAATGATGATTTCAGTTTGAATTTGTGATAGTATTGATCCTTGAATATTTTGATTAGATTCCTGATCGTTCTGTCAGTTAGCATTGAGATTGAGTCTTCGGTTTTATGTGAGTGAATTTTCTATGTTATGCGAGTGAGGTAAGTGAATTATGGTAATGCCCTCTGATTAAGCATGTTTTAATTTGTTTTTGAAGTGGTGACGGGACTAAACCTATTTTATATGAGCATGATTGATTTGAAGTGAAATATTTTTATGATTTTCATTAAATTGAGCATGCCTACTTGAAATTTAATTGATTGTTCTTATGATTTGAAAGTGATTGGTGAATTATGATTTTTCTGTTAACTTTTGCCTGTTTTGTCTCCGATGTGGTTATGTTATTGTAACCCTGCTAGTGGGGGTTAAACGCTAGCACATGTCGGCACATGTTGATATGTTAGTGATAGAACCGGTTCGTTTAAGTGACCCTGCTAGTGGGGATTATACACTAGTAAATCGTGTGCCTGCCAGTGGGAGGTGTATAACACTGGCCGTGACCTATAGAGGAGACGTCTATTTTGTTCCTGTACTGTATCCGTTTTTGTGATTACACTTGTTGGCATGCTATAAGTTTAATAAGGGGCATTCCATATTTTACTTACTGAGTTTATCTCATAGTTTTTCCTTGTCCACCATTTTAGGAAGCGAAACCGAGGACAGGGAAACCACGAGAAGTGACGAGTTAGAAGGCTAGCCATTTTGAGATTGATATAGATTTTAGATATAAACCATGATCTTGTAAACTCGACTTTATTGGAGATTTATGATATTAAAGCAAATTATAAAATTTTATCTTCAGATTTTGATGGTATCAGATTGTGAATTGGATAAGTTCCGAGCCTTGTGCATTTGTGGGACCTTCTCACGAGTGCAAGGCGTCTGTTGCGCCTCGAATTCGGGTTTTGGGGTGTTACAATAATAAAAATTAAAATAGTTTTAATTTCTATAATAAGCAAATAATAGTCAAATTATATTTTAATTGAATAACATACAGTATAACTAATATAAATAAAAAAATTATATAAATATTAACAAAAAAAATAAAATTAATAATATGATAAAAACATAAACGTATAAATTTTCTTCCAACTAATACAATTATAGACGTATAAATTTTCTTCCAACTAATACAATTATAGAAGTATAAATAAGCAAATATTAACATATGTTTCTATGTTTTCTTCTTCTGATGTCTCAAAATCTTCCCATTCTCCTTTTTCATCCTCTTCCCCGATCCCCTCCTCAACATCCGCTTCTTCATGTATTTCAATAAACCTCCCATCATTACATTTTTAACCAACTAAAAATGTACCTAATTTAATTTATCTTTATAATTAATTAAAAAATTATGAAAGTTAATTTGTTATACATTAATTATTATACTTTAATTTAATAAAATATAAATACAATATAAATTA